AGTTTCGTCGTTATCCTGCCAGCACTTCGCTTAAGCTGGCCAACCGTCACAATCAGTCACTTCTTTGTGCGAGGGTGACGGTTTCGGTTGTTTCTTGATCTGGATTGGGCATCCTTGTTTTCAGCATTTTTCTGTTCGCTCGGCCCGACACTTGGAGTTACACTGTGTACCGGACAGCCTAGACCAGATATGACAAAATATTGCTTCTTGTTTTGGTTCATTCGGTTCACATTTGAAAATTGCCTGTAGCCAATGCCTTCCTGAAAATCTGCAGGCCTAAGTTGTGGGTCAGTGTGCCTGCGAAGTTGCTTGCTGGCCAATGTTTCTCGAGCGGATATGCACACCCAAGACTTTGTCGGCATGTCCATGTCCGGTCGCTACTGTCTACATTGCTCAGGCAGAAACTTATACGGTAAAGCGCGTCATGATGTTGTCTTTGTAATTGGCAGCCAGAGTCACGCCCACTCAGCTTCTCCAAACACTGGCACGGTAATTCATTCATTCAGTGCAAGTTCAACTTTCAGACGACCGTCCTGTCAGCATCCCATGCATCTGTCGATTTACGTGCATACGTATGCCGGCCGCCCGCGCTGTCTATTTCATGCCGTAGCACGTGGAACAGCTTGAGGGGTCGAATGACGCATAGTAATTACGGTGACGATTTCTATTTTCTGCGCAGCGCTAAATTGACCCTTGCAGGTACGTCGTCTGTCAATCAAAAAGAACAATTGCAAACGGTAACATATATACAGTACACGTGCAAAAACTATCTGCCCCAAAGTCAGAAGAAAGTTTAGACTATATATGGCATTCCTTCGCATCAAATCCGGTGAGTACTTTTGGGACCCTGGTCTGCTGGCACTAGAATGTGTCCGTTTCCTATAAAATCTGTACTCTCGTAAGAGTCTGCTGCCAACAAATATTAGCAGAGACGACATCCGGTGGATCCGACTCTTGGCAAACCTTCAAACCCTTCACTTGATCCAAGAGGTCGTCACGGCCTCGAGAGGGTTGATACCAACGGGCGCGTCACGGCCCTGAATGAGACCTGTGCAGGCAGGCCAGGGAAAGAGCAACCCGTTCAGTTCCTTCCAGAAATGTCGCCAAGTTACTGAACAATACCGACGGGGCGAACAAACAGACTCTGTCACCAAAACCTATGCCGTTTTCGCCCGAGCCCCAAACCGCTGACGTTCCTTGTGTCGTCAGCCACCGCCTGAGGTTTGCGCCGCGCCCTGCACTAGGACCAATGGGTACACCGCTGCTTGCAATTGCGTTCCGCGGGGAATCTTCTCCCATGAGGACTCCCTCAGCGGAACCTGGCACGTGTCACCGAGCGGAATCCGTTCGCTCGCCCGGAAGACCGATGCTCCCCCCCCTGAACACCGATGGCCCCCCCTCTTTGCCGTTTCTCACTGGCACATCCGTTTAACCCCTCTCCGATGCTGTCAGGGCCGCGAGCATGCGCGCGCGCAATCTAACCGCCGCCCGTTTCCGGGCTCCCCCATCTCGCCAGGTCTTTCGTAACCCGGTTTTCCAGAGCACTCTGCATGACCCTTCTCAGCTCTTTCGTCAGCAACGCATCTGCCGCATCTCGGTGGTCGCTGATCTTCCGAACCTCCGACTCGTACGCACGTGTCAGCTCCTTCACCTGAGCGCTGATCGCTTCCGTCGCTCGCCACACTTCCGCTTCTCGTCCCGCGGATTCAACGGCGAAGGCTTTGAGAATACGGAGCTGCTCCGCGGCTCGCACGACCAAGGGCGCCCGCCGGATATCCTTAAACCCGGCAATCGTGGGCTTCTCGACTTCGAGAGTCAACCTTTCGAGAGCAACCGCTCCACTCGCGGAACTTCGCTCCAAAGCCCTGACCACTTCTCTTCTTTGCCCAGGCTCCGCCTTCTCTTTAGCCAACGCGCTTCCGATTTCACCCAACGCAACGCGCTGTTTCTGTGCCTCCGCTTCCCTCAAACCGACGGCTTCCAACGCTTCGCTCACTTCCTTCTTCTTCTCTGCGAGTTTCCCTGTTTCCCTGGCCTCTTCAGAGGCGCCGAAAGGCGCTGCCCAACCGCCCTCTGCCAAGTCCTGTCTTTCCATTGGAAGCAAGAAGAACGGTTTAGCGCTTCGTGGATGAAAGGGTACTTATCTCCGAGTCGTGATTACGGGAACGCTTCCTACACTTTTATCACTAGTTTCTGTAAATAAGAAAGGTGCCGGCAAAGAGAGCATCAGCCAGAGTGCTTTTGGTAGCACAAATCAGGTTCTCTGGACCTTTCGAGCCGCACTCCTTTCGCATGATTCTCAGATCGACACTCGTCTTGCCCATTGTCAATACCGCGTGTGGCCAATTGATGCGCACGTGCCTCCTTTACTTCGACATGCACCCCGGCTCCTTGTACAGCCTGGTGTCCTGCCCATTTTGAGTCTTAAAGTCGACGTCCTGACTGATTCCTGATTTTTTTGACAGCCACTACTCCGAGTCGATCCGTGCAGCTTGCTTGCATCTTGTTGATTTTCGTCTGTATTATTGTTCCCCTGGTACGTTTGAAATGGTGAGATCGAGTTTCTTGGGTTGGTTTTCTGATCAAAGACGGGTAAGGGCACAGTGCGTGCTTAAGTCCTCATACCGGCCATGGCGTGCTTTCGCTTGCCGGCCGCGGTGCCCTTATTCTTCATTCTGTCCGGACTCCGATCGCCAACATATCACTGACCACGCAAACGGAAAAGACTCGTTTGCCGATAGGCAAGCAGCCGGGAAGCATACGGAAAACAGGCAATCCAGCGGCAGGTGAGTTCTTGGCGGTTGGCTACCTGAGTCATGGCTCTGCCGAAAAGAGAATAGAGCTCTTCAGGAAGAGCTTTCTTTTCGGCTACACCTGTTTCGAAGGCCGACAACCTTGGGTACAGTAGTAAACGCTACAAGAACCGACTCCGTAGAATCAGGGGCTGTGGCACCCCAAGTGGGCCGAGTGATTCTGCCCAAACTCGCCGTCTGTTCAGAAAAACGGAGGCAGCCTCAATTCACAGCCAAAAACAGCTCGTACATCCGCTTTATTCCCAGATCATCTGAAGTACTTAAAGGATCAGGGGAACACGTATTTGTTCAAGCCGAGGCAAAGAAGAACCACACACTAGCGCGTCGGCAGCGGTAGTCACGCCAGCCCGTCATGCCAGCCCGTCACTCTTGTGACGAACTCTAAGTCACTGTACGTTTGGTAGTTTGGTGTTCTGTAGTCTGGTAGGAGAAGCATAATTGCCTTAAATTCTTCCTTCCACGGTATCCAAATGGCTCTTTTTGGGTGGAGGCTGCTTCAGAGAACTACGTTTGTCGCGGCGGGATCTGAGAGCTGGTGCGATCAGATTGTACTACATACCGGGACGGAAATTATCAGTCCCATTCATTCAATTGAGACTCTGATTGGTGGCAAGGACAAAAAGCACCCTGGCGGCATCGCCAGAGGAATGCCAAGTAACTGGAGCTACTACTACTGGATTTTATGTTTTCTCCTCGCAGCGCCTTACATCAGTTAACTGCTCTGGATCAGCACACGGATCAGGTGCCCAGAACAACGGAGGCCCTTTCAGGCTTGAAGTGGGTCGGCTGCATGGCTTGACGTCATTTTATGCTTACGTTTTCGTTCAAACTAGTTTCCCTCGTGGCTGTGGGTCTCACATCCGCACGCTATCCGACCCCTTCCGTGCGTTGCCAGGTCGCGTAAACTTGGGGCTTCTTGATCGATGCGGCTCGGTCGCATGACGGAAACCCGAGCTGTTTAGTGTAAGTAAAGTCTCTTGACGTAGGCCTTATCAACTCTTGCGGATAAGCAGTCACCTCGTGAAGTGGAAGCACGGCGAGGAGGTGGCTTTTGCATTGGCTTCCCAAGAAGTCACTCTCTTTCGGTATATATATAGCACCGTCTAAGCCGCCTGAATTCACCTCCATCGATGTTGGCTGCTAACTTTATCTCAGTTTCTAGTCATGTCCATTTTTCTAGGCGTCTTTTGGGGTCGGCAAGCTTGTTACAACTGCTATTTCATGGTGAATAATTAGTCCTTGTTCACGGGACTCTTAGGACTCCGTTTCTCCCTCGCGGTTGACATCTGCTTCCTGCGAGGCCTGAGAAGCGCTGCGGAAGCCGTCGCAGAATGTTAACATCACAGAACGGGGTTCGTTGCTAACCAAGCTTGTTAGGAGAAGTAAAACCGGGCACCTCACATTAGAAGAGACTCAAGACGGTTGCGGACAGCGGGCTTCGCTTTCCTTGTCGGACGGTGCCGCCAAGACACTTGGCGAAGTCCGGGCCGTACTGGACGAGCTGCGAACGGGATCGGAAGCAAGTCGGGCGCGTTCAGACGGAACTCGGACGGTATTTGGGCGCGAGCTGCGGGCGTCGGATCCGGACGGATCCGGCCGGACGCCTTCCGTTCAACGGCCACTCGCGCGCGATTGCTTTTGTGGGCGCTGCCACGACAGCGACCAGCTTTCAATTCTCATGCAGAATGTCCGGCGCAAGGATTTGGGGCACCTCGAATTTTTATTATTGATCAAAGATTTAGCGTGCCATCTTCAAAGTGCGCCAGACAAGGCGCCAAGCGACGCGTGCGCTGTCCGATACAAAACTGAGAAGTGGTGGCCGAGAGCCAATGGGCCCGAACATGCCACGTTTTTGATTTCATTTACGCCACGCAAAACTTATTGTTGATCACGGTAAAGCGCGAGTACGTGAAGGACTAAGTCCGCTCTTCGGGCAAGTTGCTCGAAAGCTTAGAACGGACACGTCTCAAATAGCGTAAGAGCTATTCGCCGGATCACCTTAGTGATTCAATGATTAATCAAATTGTCACGCCCAATGATTTCCTCAAAAAATATATGATGACATGGTTCTTCCTTCAGTATCGATGATATATCATGCTTCATCGTGTGTATCATATAATAGTATCCTCGCACAACACAGTCCGGCTTTCTAAAGTAACGGTCAAAAACGACGTACATGACTAGACTTGTATGCTGCCAGAGTGTGTGGCTGTTCGACCTGATTTACACGGAAGTCGACGCTTAAACTTGATCTATAAAACAGTACGCGTCGATCAATAGTTGACTGCCGAAAGTAATCTGCCACCAATTGTCGAGGCTAACCAACCAGATTGAGCTGGCGCGTGGTAGCAGACCATGCCGTTCTACTCCATAATATACCAAAATCCTTAATAGCGAGGTGCGTATGATTATCGGATGGATTCGACCCCTAGCTTCAATCCTGCACTTCGAAGAACAAAGACTACCAAGATTTTGTTCCTAGTGATTCGACACCATTAAAGTTGATTGCAGCATTACATTGTTGAACCAGTCCAGTAATTACGCTGTAATTTACCAGCTTAGATAGTAACCACTGCCTATCATTTGCGCGCTTTGACTGACACGAAGCTAGCAGTAAGCGACCAATTTACCGGATGTCCAGCCAATATTTTTCCAACATATAATCTACACCAGTATAGCGTGCGGTGATCGAGGATAACAACTCGATGCTTTTGACTCGCAATCCCCAATCGATCCCTATTCTTCCGGAAATTTACCTACCCCAAAATCGCCGCATGGAACAGTTCACTTTTGTTGATTTGCAACCAATGCAATCACCTCCATTTCCGATTGATCTCCATGCGTTCGCCCACAATCCTTTAATCGAGTAGTCTGTCGGTCTGCTCAAAACCTTGTGGACATCGCTTTCAAATCCCTTTCGAAAACATCCTTCCGGCCGAACCTTCCATCGTTTGAGTATCCATGTATCGACGTCGAATCTCGAAAAGCCTCAAACCCGCCTAAAACACCGGGCACCCTTCGACAACAATCCCCGGCGCGGTCGGGCACGACGCAAGCGGGCAGTGGTCGGTCGTGGTCCCTCCGTTACCCCACCAACTGAGGACCGTGTTCTGATTCTGGAGCGCCGCGAAGATTATAATGCCCATGAAGGCGACCCCGGTGTCGAGCGCCGCGGAAAGCACGTAGTTGTAACGGGACCACCAGCCTTTGTAATACTTGAAGATGAGGTAGTTAAAGATGAAACCGGTTAGGATCCAAGACGAGTAGTTGACGGGCGTCGCGGGCGGCAGCAGCGCGGTCGCGCCGAGGATGACCGGGACATTCACCTTGCGGAGCCACTGCAGAAATAAGAAAGTCATTTGCATTGGCACGCAAAGACTCCTTTTTGAACCTGTTTTGTAAAAAATGTAATGAACCGGTCGCGCCCAGGATGACCGGGACATTCACTTTGCGGAGCCACTGCAGAAACAAGAATGGTTTCTTTCAATCGGAGCCCAGAACCAACGAGATCAGGCGGCGAAAAATATGAACAGAATCAGGCACTTCCTCTTGGTTCAGACAGGTGTTAGCGAGCCCAATTGATAATCTGCAAAACCACATCCAAAATGTCAGATGTAAATAGGTATGCGGACAGATCGTTATGACTTTGAATTGACACACAAAATGTAAAGACTGTTTTCTTGTGAGTTCCTGTCTTTTAAAAGATGCAAAGGACCGCTTTTGGGTTTTCTGATTACTCTTTTCAGCCTCGCACGCATGTGCAACTCCTAAGACAGTAACCGGGGCCTCGATCAAGGGTCGATCTTTCGGGCAACTTGGATCGGGCAATTCCCGCTTCATCCTCGGGTCTGCAGAATTGCATGGAAGTTTCCCATCTAACACAGTGTATATACGAGACTGCTCTTTACCCGACAAAAAGCGTTCCAATACACGTATTTGCGCTGCCGCATCGAAAACTTGCTCTGAAGCTACCGCGGCTGCCAGCCCATTCGACCGTTGCATACGTCTGATTACGGACTCGGAGTTTCTTCTTGTCTTCGTACCCCACTGCTAATCCCATGTTGAGGCCCGAATCTAAGCACCGAAGGGGAGCCTGCCTCAGGCGGATACGACGCAAAATCCCGCCCTGCTAGTTGACCCTTTACCGTGATTTTTGGCGGTTAACCTCAGTCGATTACGGGCTGGTTTGGTGCTGGTACTCAACTGTCTAATGACCATACTCGAGCAGTGACCAGGTTCTAACCACTGTAAATGATAGCCCGGTTTAAGATCGTTGTGAGGCCGCTTCGATCTTAAACCTATTCAGATTTTCAGGCTATTTTGGTCTTAAACGTTGTGTCAGACCATTTTGATCTGAAATGCTGAATTTCTGAGATCAAAACGGCCTCAAAAAACGATCTTAAACCGGGTAATGATTTATTGTTAACATGGTTACGACGCGATTGTTGGCCAAAGAACAAGACTCATGAAGATTGGTTAGCGAACGTGGTTAGCAGCCAAACCTTCCTGTGCTTCTCACCTTGACCTTCGGGAAAACCTGCGCCGCCGCCCAGAACGGAACCGGAAGCAGGAAACCCGCGAGGAAGAACCAATTGAGCGCGCTGTAGTCGCCCAAGCTGCCGAAGATGCGCTTCGGCCCGATCACCCCCCAAATGATCGACGCCGAGTAGAAGACGTTGGCGGACGGGCAAGTCCAGGGAGACCCGTCAGGCAAAAGATTTGTGTTGCAAATGTTGTTAATGGAGCCGTAGAGCCAGAACGCGACGGCCAGGTTCATAATCCCCGCGATCAGGGTGCCCACCACCTGTATAGGGGAGAAACCGCGGTTAACCGTACCTGGTTAGGGTTTGTTAGGTGTTCTTTTAGAAGACAAGACTGGTTAAGGGCCGCTCCGTTGGTTTCGCTGATAGAGCCAGAATTGGTTAAGAAATCAGTGGGCGGCGGACGAATTTGTAAACACGGCCCATATGCAGGCACAGATCGAGCACACGCACAGCGGATTGTTGAGAGCATCACCTTTCTTGTTTTAAAAGATTGCAGGTTAACATGCATCGTGCACACACAGGGCGTGAAGTGATATCTGGATACTGATGTTCGTGGGGAGAGGACGTCATCCCGCTTCGCTGGAATGAATGAAGTGCTGGCAGACGGACACAGGTTGCCTGGAATCGGTTCATGACAAAAACATTTTTTTTTCTGTATAAAGGGCAGTTGCTTTTACTTCGAAACAAATACCTGAACATAAAGTTAAGAAAGGAAGGGCCCGCTAACCTGAACGATGAACATGGGGCGCGGAGGGATCTTCATGTATTGCCCCAGCTTGAAGTCTTGCAGGAACGAGATGGCTTGCGTCATGCTGATGTAACCATACGTCTTGAACACCACGTTCGCGATGGGCTTGCCCGGGAGGATGAACCCGATCATAAACTCCGTAATGATGTTGAGCCCGGGGATCTGCACCGGGAACGCCACAGGTAAGTCGGTGCTAACAGGGGCGATAACCCGACTTTAGGGGTTAAGTTTTAAGAAATGGCATCGGCTTCTACTTCGAAGTTTTCGAAGAAGACCCGGTCGCATTCTGGCCGGGAGCGAATATATGCTGCAGGCCGGACGCTTCTACATCGCAACCGTAGAAGACTACAATGATCAGGATTTTCACTTGCTGACGTGTTGGCTACTGACACGTGGCAGGGAAGGCAGTTTAACCAGTGGTAAAAAGTTAGTGTGTTGAAACCCTCCGTCGCTGAAGCACTCGGGGAAACGGCGCAATGAAAAGGCGCCGATTCCGTCGGATGAGTTCTGCTGAGTTTGGTCGGAGCAGCGGAATTTACGAAGTGAAGACAGGCACTGCTTTTCTTAAGCGAGCTTCACTCCCCCAGAGTCCGCCAGCACTGAGCAGCGACACAGGAACTTTTGGTTGCTAACCAGGCTCATTAGGAGACTCGAATTTCAGGTTACTGAACAAATAGCCGGGCTTTTATCTCGTCCTAGGGCTGGTTACGGCTCAAGTCCGGTCAATGGACATTTACCCACTTTTAACACCTCATAACCAGCCCATAACCATCCATGGGTGAGGGCCAAAACCTTCCATGTGCGTACAGAAGCCCCCAATGATGGGCTCTTTTCTGGCGACTAGGAACCGTTCTCACCTGATTCGTGGTCGCCGCGATGACCCCCACCGGCAGCGTGAAGAAGATCGCGAGCGCGGTCGCGAGCAGAACGCCCCACCAGGGCAGCTGTAACCCGAAAACTTCGCAGGTAACGATGGACAAACCCACGGTTACGACCAGAAGGATAATGAACCAGATCCAGGGGATGTCCTGGTAGCGCTGCATCAGGCGCGTGTGGATGTCCGGCATACGCTCGCCCACTGCACAGAAACGTTTAGAGGTTTTTGAGGGCTGTTTTCCCTCTAAAGCTGGCAGAATGGACGTTACAAAAGCTCCGTGCGTTTTAAGCGGTCGCGAAAGGACGCTCGTGCATCGTAGTCCTGAGGAGAAAGGTTCGACTGTCCCTACTCAAACTTGACATTGCGTTCAGCGACCAAGATAAACCCCGTGTTGAGTTATCTTGTCGCCTGAGGGGAGACCAGTTCCTCTACGCCCTTTTGAAGAAGCGGGGACGAGCAGTCGGGGGCGTATACGCAGAGTACGGTAGAGTGTAAGAGCGCGCGCGCACTCACACGATGAGCGCGCGCGGTGGTAGATGTCCCGCCCGTGCCACAGCAGCAGGTGGCTAATTGTCGCGGTTAGCGTGGCAAACCCGACGCCGTAGGTTATGGCGAAGAACCCGGTGAGGTGCGGCTTGCCATAGGCCGCGTATTTTGCGTAGTCGACTTGCAGGTTGCTGTCCAGGATCTGCACAAAACAATCGCTAGAATGTTTCGACGTCGAACATACGATCTCAGCGAATGGATAGGAAATGAGTCCTGGCGTGTAGCAGGTCAACAAAGACGACTCGCGGTTCCAGGAAAGGAACTAGAAGGACCTAGAACTTATGACTTTGGAGAGCCAAACACGTCTCGTGTGAAGAATTCTTTCTTTGCTAGTTCTACTAGCCAAGTTTGAGACTTCGACTCAAGTTTCTCGAAAATAAAAGGAGGTCGAAGTGGGAATGAGTCGCCCCTCGACTCACGAGCGGAGGTAATCAGGAACTAGAGCGGTCGGACTTTCTTCTTTATCACACGCTTGATTGGCCGTTTCCGCTCAGAACTCAACTGTAAATCATCGAAACAAACTCCAAGTCTACGACATCACCCCTGTCGCGTAAAGGCTACTCAAAATAGATTCGACCATCATACTGAGATGTCCAGACAGAACTTTGTCAAGTGCTAGATTAATCTGGATGAATGCATGCGCGCGCGCTCCCGACCAGTGAAAGAGCATGACTCATTTTCGGACCTGGACAACAACTAGAGGCGGCGCACCTTGCTTGTGACGTACGGCTGACCGGTTTTGAGAAAGAGGCGAGACGACAGGATCGGGTAATTCTTGGCGTCGTATATGTTGTTCCAGTATACAATGGGGACGATGACGTATGTGACCAGAAGGAAGCCGACCAATACGTTGGCAATCGCGAACCTGCGCATAAGCGGGAAAAAGAAGAGGTTTTCGTTCCTAACCAACCCTCGCTGAAGGTTATATAACCAGCTCTTAACCAGCTTCATTTCGTCGAAGGGCATCTAACGGGGCACTAACCGGCAAACCGGGCTCCATTAACTTCGCTTTTCCCCTCTGCGAAAGCGAACACGCTTAAAGTACCAGGCCGCGTTCATAGAACTGGTAATGTCGATGTCAGCGTACCGATGTCCGAATGCATAAATGAAGGCTAACACTTCAATGCATGAGGGAATCATAAGGGAGACAGCTTCAATGCGCCGAATTCACCGAGTTGCTTTGCTAACCGGAGTGGAAACAATTTGGAAATGGAGAAGCGGCGCTTCGAAAGAGTTTTTCAACCGTCCCGGCTCCGAAAACTTTGGAAGTCCAGGGAACTTACTGAAAGCATACAAGTCTCGAACAAACGAAAAGACCGCTCAGGGATTTCAAAGCAGACGCTCAATCCTAAGCCGACAATAGAAACGCTATGCAAGGGTCACGATCCTAGTTTCTAGCTGCGAGGCGAGGCTCTTACGCAGAATTCCGACCCGATTCGCACAAACCACGAGCTTACGCAAAGTACGTTCTTACCAAGGAGTGGCAAGCGGCGAGAGGAGGAACGCTGATATGGTCGCCCAGTCCAAAGCGAAAGCACCGAGCCCGAGTCCTTCCAGACCTGCAAAACATGCAAATTCGTTCCGTTTCCGCTTCCGTTCTGACGATTCAGCGGATGAGGAGCAACTCGCGGCCGGCGGCTGCGCAATGACTCCTACTTGAGATCCAGGAAGGCGACCTACGAAAATGGGCATAAAATGCATCCACTAACCTCCTCACTAAACCAGGGTTAAGATGCTAACCCACCTGAGCCGACCTGCTGCGCGGTAACGCTCTTCTTGAACGCCCAGCAGATCCAGGAGAGTGACGTCATGATGGTCATGACGTAACCGGGGACCATGTACCAGATGAAGCTGAGGAACGCCGCGATAAGGAAAAATTTGATGCGGGTCATTCCCCGGCCCGTCTCTTTCTCGTGGAGAGTCCTGAAAGTCACAAAGGGTGAAAAAATGTTCATTTGATCTGCGCGCTAGTAGGGCCTTCCAAGCGCGCCGTCAAGATTGTTGCGGAATTGGAGGAAAAGCGAGCCGGGCAAAGTTATGCGGCTAGATCGTTGCTCGCTACTTCGTCACGTCGCCCGGTCGCATATCTCCCAACGCTGGCGAGCTATACGAAGAGAGAAACGACTTACGTCGAGTTCGAAACTCCAACAAATCATCGCTGATGAGAGTCGCGCTTGGCGTTACTGAGTCAGAGTTGGAGACCCCAAAAAGCACAAGGGCTGCTGACTCATTTGGCATAATACAGCCTGGTCATCGGACACATAACCAGATTTTAGGCAGCACTACACCGACCATAGTTTACCGCCGAAAGGCTCTTCGGCTCACCGGAAAAGCGACACGTTGACGAGGTTCGTCAGCCACCAGAACTGCGCGGGCTCCACCAAACTTTTGCGCATCACTGCCCAACATATAACCAGATTCTAACCCGCCCTAAACCAACCACAGGTTACTGCCGAAAGGCGCCTTTGGCTCACCGGAAAAGCGACACGTTGACGAGGTTAGTCGGCCACCAGAAGTGCGCGGGCTCCACCAGGAACTTGCGCATCAGCCCGGCAAATCCGTAACCCACGGATTGCGTCGTAACCACGAGCAGAACCGCGGCGCCGAAGTTCAGCTCCTTGCCGTAGAACTGGCGCATGATCGTGACGATGTCGATAGCGTATGCGTTCCCGTTGCCGAAGGAGTAGCCACAGTTTGCGAAGATGGTGATCAGCACGTGCTCCTTGACATTGAACGGCCCCGGGTTAAGGTTAACCCCGAGAAAACGCCGCGCCGGGAGGATCTTGTGCATGAATCGCCCGAGCGGGAGCGTGATGATCTGGAATGCTAGCGCGGAGACGATAAGGGGCTCCGTCCTGAAAAGCGGGTTAGGAGACGGGTTAGCAGATATGTTGGGTTAAGGTCAGGAAGGCTTGGGAGGGGTAGAGAAGCGGGTCAATCGATCAAAGGGAATATTGTTGATGGGAGAGGGTTGAGAAGCAGATGAAAAGAGTGGGAGAGAGGAAGTTGCATGATCAAATATAGAGACGCGTGCATAAGGAGATAGAGCGTGTCGGTCAAGGCTCGAATTGAGAGACACGAACTCGCAAGAATTCAAAAACGTATTGAACGGAAAGGTACGGGAATGGAGAGACGCGTCGACATCAAGGGCTAGCGCTCTTACGAGCGGACACGAAAAGGAATACAAGCGGAAGAAAGTGCAAGGCGCCCAAAGTACCGAAAGACGTCCGCTAAAAAGTTCGGGTTCAGAACAGGCACTGTCAATCAAAGCCAACTTTCATAACCACTTTTCGATACGGGCGGAGAGGGTCGAGTTCTCGTCATGAAAACGAGCTCATTTTTCAAAGCGCATATGTGGCCTCAAAAAGGGGACGTTGGAAGCGCTCTCAGAGTCCGCCGCTAAAAGGTCGGAATTCAAACCCGGCCTAAGAACAAACCCGGCCTTAATTGGGCCTTAAAACCCGGTCCTGATCCAAAGTAAGGTGAGCTGTGGCAAAGGCCTCAACCGACCCGATAACGCAAACACAACCGTTGAGAAAGATATCAGCTGGTTCAAATCTCAAATCAGCTTTGCGGTGCACAAGATTTATGGCGGTCAAAGATATAGTCGGTTACGCGCTGGTTCCAGAGCTGGGAACCAGATTCGAGCATTAACCACGTTCTCACCATGGCTATAACGAGGATACTGGTCAAAGAACCACGTTGAAGTCTGGTAAACGTTTCTGTGCATGCGTGACACACCTGAACCAGAAGAACTGGTTGACGAAAGCCAGCACGGCGCACGACAAGATCCCGAGGACCCACACCCGAATGGTCCACACCGGAAGCGTGTAGTCGTCCGTGTTGGGGACGGTTAGGTTGACCTCCTCAATTGGGGACATGTCGTCGTCAATAACCTGGGATAAACATACGATAACCAAGAGAGGTTATGCTTCGCGGCAAGGAGCTAGGGTCTTAACCAGTGTCGGTCACGGCCTGGTCAAAAGCTGGTTACATCACCAGTGGCCAGGCTCGAGCAGGAACCAGTCTTTCACCATGGTCGCACCCGTTTACTGAACCAAAAAAGACGGATTCTAGCTCTGGTTACCGGGTTAGCAGCCTAACCCTTCCTGGCTAGCTTCTCAATCGAGCAGTGAGCAGGTTTTCAACACGGCTTAATTGCAAAAACATATCTCGGTTCCAAAACCCACACTAAAACCCTGGTTACCGAGCCTGGTCAGCAGACAAAGCTTCCTGTGCCTGAAACCCAAACCCTTCTTAGCCCCACCTCTGTTGCATCTTTTTCCGGGTCATTCACTGCGCGCTTGCGCTCGTGCATCTTGTGCAGCTCCGGGCCCGCGATCCGAGGCATGCCGAACTCGGGGGCCGCTGACGTCAGCCCCACGCCCGCGGGGTACTCGCGCATCTCCGTCCCGTCCGCTTCCCCGGCCTCGACCGCGGAAAAGCCTTTCACGCTGCTGGGCTTGCCGTTGTCGAGAGTCTTGTCCGATAGGACGTTCCCTGCGCCATTCTCCAGGCCCGCCATTGCGTCACCTGTAACCCAGGGGTTTTTGGAATCTAACCATGGGCGGTTACGAGCTGGTTACAAGCTGGTTATATGTCTATTGAGCAGATTCGTATCGAGGGCTTTGTCTGATGGGTCCCCCGCGCCGTTCTTCAGGCCCGCCATCGTGCCTGCAAGAGAACCCAGGGTTCTTCAAAGTGAACCATGGGTGGTTACGAGCTGGTTAAAGCTGGTTATAAGCAGACTCGTATTGAGGGTCTTGTTCGATAAGACGTTCCCCGCGCCGTTCTTCAGGCCCGCCACGCGTCACCTGTAACCCAGGGTTTTTGGAAGTGAACCATGGGCGGTTACAAGCTGGGTAAGAGCTGGTTATATGTCCAATAAGCAGAATCGTATCGAGAGTCTTGTCCGAAAGCACGTTCCTCGCGCCGTTCTCCAGGCCCGCCATCCCGTCACCTGTGCCTGCAAGGAAACATAGGGGTTTGGGCAGTTAAGCATGGGCGGTTAGTACATCTCAGGATCTCCTATTGGGCAGTGAGATTTCTCGTCGTCAGATTTGAAGTGTTGGATACTTGACGGAAACAAACTTGGAATCTACTCAGGAATCCTGTACCTTTGTGACAAGGTCGAGATCAGTTCGGGATAGAACTAGCTGGCAGCAGAGTTGTGAACAGATCAGAGGTAAACAGATGTTGAAATGCTTCTATTGGTTGTGGCCATTGCGGGTTTGCGCAGGCCAATATAAAGTGCATGTATCTTTTCTACTGACATGACTGAAATGAGCCCACGTTATCATAATTGCCACCTGGATGGCATATAGTCAAAAGCATTTGCCAGATCAGATCGCACCCTTGTATAAGCGATTTGTCATTTATGGAGAATGTTGAACTCATTCTAGCAACTTGAAGGGCCCATTTACCTTGCTCGGGTTAGGACAGATAGATTGTTGGCAACGTACACCCCAGCTCAATCTGCAATATGAGGCAGCGAATTTCCTTAAGAAATAGTCACGTGATGTGACCCATGCAAGAGTAGGTCTATTGCAGGGCTAGAGAAATACCTTCGCCTGCGCCCATGTCAAAAGTTGTATGAGAATCTGTGGTCTTTCATTCTAAGCTTTCCAGCGCTTACGACCCTGCTTGAATGTAAGGACGTCCTTGCAAAAAGGTTCTCCAAGAAGGATAGGAGAGTCCACATGCCCTTGACTTCACAAGTTTCCGAGTCAGAGTCAGTCTTAGAGAGCTTGAATAATGTTACTGGAATGCAGAAGAAAGACAGATGCCAACCAGAACTAGAATACGTTCTTTCAAAGAGAAGGTGGCACTCAATTCCGAGGCAGGTGTGTGAACAAGTACAGCTGATTTCGGGAGAGCGCAAAGCCAAATCAAAATATATTGGCTTGATGGTGTGAAGTTCAAACCTTCTTCCAGCACCACCCCTTTACAGCCAGCTACTAAGTACCAGCTGTTCACATTGAGAAGTATACCATGCACTCAGCTTGATCAAGAAAGAAGTCTCCTTTACGTGCTATAAGCTCTTCTGGAGTAAAGTTGGAAGATTACGTACCAGGCACAGACAAACCAAAACCGCAAATCACAAAGGATCATATGCCCTCCCACCCCAAAGATCAAAGTAGCCCCAGCTGTTTTTAACCTTCAAAAGAGTACTCAGAGAAGCTTGGTTCCCGCAGAAAAGAGGTTTCAAAGCGAGGCAAGCACTGGCAAGCCCTATTCCTAAAGGATCTATGAGAACCACTACCTTTTCAAACTTTGCATTCGTAACCTCTAAGTTGAAGCAAAACTCAAGGGACATGATACTCACCAACAAAGTAAGCTTGCTGCTTATTCTCAGCAAGAAACGCGTGGTGTGCCCAAGTCACTTTATGGCCAGACAAAAGAAGGAGTAAAGTATTCAAAGGTATTATCCCCCATGGGTAATTCAGCACCTCAACTCCCTTTTGGAGGCCAGATTGCTCCAATTTCTACAGTTGGAGCTGTCCTTGAGTGGAAAAACGCCCAAAAACAAAAGGCTTACCAGCTCGCTAGAACGTCACCACTGCCTTTCTGCACTTGGAAGCTCCAACAGCGATCAGCCCACACGAGTTAGGCAAAAACCAGTGGTCGCCAGCTGATCATGTGCCACAGAGGCTGGTCCTATGGGGTTCTTTATGTGAAGAGCTGTAGCCTGAGGTCCCTCGCTGCGCTTGGCGGATCAGGCGCGTGAAAAAGTTGCAGCTTGATCTGTTACGTGCTCCTCGCAGTTGAGAAGGGCAAACTTTAAAACGACACCACTTTACTGTTGATCAAATGCTTTCTCGGATCAGGAACATATGTATGAAAGAAGTAACTTTTGCAGCTGAGCTAGCGATCAAAGCTTGCTCTGGTGAAGCAGATGCCGGCACGTGTGCAAGTACTGCTTCCAAGCTGAAACGCGGAAAACCTGGCAAGGAAGCTTTATGTCCGTGGCTGCTCAGGACGCCTTCGACTGATCCCGCTAGTTGGCTGTCCAGTCCTCCGACGTGATGGTAATATTAGGTGTTAAAATGTGAAGCCAATGTGGGCCGTCGTGTTGCTAGTGAAACGCAGTGTTTCTGCGTCGCAGTTGAGCTCATCATGAAATCATGCGCCATGATGCCGAGCCTGCTGAACAGCTCTGTCTGAGCGGAGCGAATATGAGACGCCGAGATTGTGCACGCTCCGCCGTAAGGCGGGTCGAATTTAATTCCCGGGTTCCGGTCCTACCCCCTTTTGGGTGGGTCGGTCGGTCGGGAAGAAATAATAGTTGGTTTTTTGCTAGTATGTTTGAAATATGAAATAATATGGAATATTTTTGGGGCAAAAACTTCATTTCTTGGCCCAGATTTCATTATTTTCAATCCAAAATGACCCAAAATCGGAAAACTTGGGCCAAAATGCTGACTATATTTATTATTTTGTTCCAAAATCCTTCGGATTTTGGGTCGGTCGGGGACCGGAAACCGGGACTTAACTTCGAGTCGCCTAACGGTATCCAGCTCGGAACCGGACACGTGTGAAAGTGGTTCATGTGAGACACGTTACATGCCACGTGGCATAGATCCAGACGCCATGCATGGTTCCACTTCGAATCCTAATCTCTGCTACCGGTATAATAGTCCGAGTCTCGAGACTTTGGCTACGTGGCGGACTGGCGCCGTACGGACAAGTACGGTTTTCAGTACGCCGCCCAGGCAGCGCTCAACACGATTTTCGATTCCGTCGGCTCCGAGTCCAGGCCGATTATTGATCTAGCTCCAGTTAAATTCGTCAGCTGGATTGCCAATTATCAAAGAACCGGTCGGCTTGTGACTCTGTGGAAGCCAATCAACCCCAAATGAAGACCTCAATTCTGTCGCGGTGCTGTTCGATGGACACTTCTACGTGCGTATCGACGTCGCCTCCGGCCGGGCGGCAATCCCGTCGCCTACGGCTCGTGTCGAGCCGCTTCCAAACTCCACAGGATTCCCATTCCCCTTTAGTAAAGCTGTCTGAGCGGCGAAATCAGAGTACAGTCGAACATGCATCAGAATCGAGCAGACAAAGTCTTAACGTTGCTTTTTGTCCTGACAGAGTTATTTATCCTTACCTCGAAGGAAACGTTCCTTTGTAGACGGGTATGGGGGTGTATGCGAACCGGTCGCGAAGACTTACAAAATCATGGGCCACACAGAGCCTTTTTGTCATGACATTCAATGCCACAGATGCCAGGAAGCCGACACCGATATAAAAGCTGTCTTAATTGACCGGCGGTGTTTTACACAGGGATTGGTGAAATACGATGACTTGTATACATAGCAGCCACGCCGCCTCAGACTATGAACAACGCGCATCCGATAATGGATTAACAGCAGCGCCTTCAAAGGCCATCTAGTTTGGCGGTTTCGCAGGCGGAGATAACCTTCCTCGCGGGGCTGCTTTGAAAGCTGCAGCGGAGTTCTACAGTACCGTTCATCTCGGTCCATCGACATAAGCCCCTGCCATCGACAAAGGCGCCAACTGTACATGTTGAATGAACACCAGACAAGATAGACAAGGACTTACAAGCTAATGATCACTTTTCTACTTTTCGCATCTTTCAAGCGGCTCAGCGGAAGCATGCTTGCTGGTTTCTAGCTTGGGTGGCCTCAATGGAACGGCCATTTTGACGTGCTAAAGCAGTGCCACTCTTGCAAGGTCATTTCTTACACAGAAACGCGACTCCGCGAGTTGTGCTTGAGTCCGTGCCGGCACGAAGGCCTTCCAGGAACACTGCAATCAAAGACGTCGCGATCTGCTGACTAAGCTTGATTGAATATCCAATTCCACCAGCACTTGCCCGAAATGTACTTACGAGTGGGGACAATTCGCATCGATTTTCATTGAAGCGACGATATGGCACAGCTTTCAGCATGCCGTGTGCGGACGTCCACTCAAAAAACCAAAACGCAAACGGTCAAAATATCAGACAGTGTGTCTCACTCTTCGAGGACCCATCCGAGGAGTCCTTGCCAAGCTTGCATTCAAAACGTCGGAAGCGTACTCATTACACGCATGCCGCGATTTTGCCAGACGGAGTATCGGCTTCTGGCCGTGTAGTGCTTGCCCAATAGCAAAAATATATTTCGAGGTAACCCGGTAGATCAAAGCGCGCAGGCGGTCCAAATATATCGGAGGCAGGCTGGAGATCGCAAGCCCTATCGGAGCCAAATCTTTGAACTCGTCTCAGCTGGATACAGTACGCTTTATGCATTTGCAACGGAGCGAGAAATTCAAAAGAAGAAAGCAAAGAGGCCAAATTGTCCGAAGTGGTCAACCGTCTAAAGGCTCGAGACGTCCTAAATCTGCGCCGTCGGCCGCAATGATCAGGTTTTCCGAAGCTGTTTGTCCGACAGAGTCTGGTTAATCCTCACTGGTACCGTTCCGCCCTCCAGATATTCCGCCCTCCAGATATTCCGCCCTCCAGATATTCCGCCCTCCAGATATTCCGCCCTCCAGATACCTAGTCACCAAGGATTGGATTCGACAACCTGCAAAGTAGCCGACGTTACAGGGTTGATCATTATACGTAGCACCCGTGGCCGATAAGACCCGACTTTCTTCCAACGAAGTTGGCTTTTTCAGGGTTCATCTTGTTGTGGCCTTTGTAGAGCCGACGTTTAAGTTCTCTCTAGCTCGATCCGAACAGGCCAGGCGACTGGTTGAAAACTTCACAAAACGGTGGCAGGGGATTGACCTAATAGGACCATAGATACTTTTGTAGATGAAAAGCCAAAATTGCTCTTTCTTTGAATGGTTACCGCACCCATTGGTTATGAAGACCAGCAAATATACTCAGATCGCATCAA